GAATGAGTGGGGGAGGGGCAGAGAAAGAGGGGGAGAAAAAGAATCCTAGGCAGGCTCCACATGTCAGTACAGAGCCCAATTAGGGGGCTCGATCTCACAAACCCTGAGATCATGACCTGAGCCAAAACCAAGAGTCAGACACTTCACCCACTGAGCCACCCAGGCTCCCCTAGATGGAAGGAGTGGTTTTTTTTAATTTCTTTGATTATAAATAATGAACATGAGTTGCTTTTATAATTAAAAAATATATATAAGTTAAAATAATACAGAAGCACAATTTTCCTAACAGTATTCCACAAACAATTTTCTCAGAATATTTCTTATGAAATAACACAAATCTTAATAATATGAAATATTAGGTAAGTTACATTCAAGAAGCAGAATAAGATAGTATTGTTTTGTTATTTTATAATTTAATAGAATGAAAATTAGTGAGGTTCAGCTATGAGTGTAGATGTTAAAGAGTGAACTGAATCATAATGAATTCTGAACACCCAGCAGTATTGTCAACAAAATTGTATTTATCTCTAGGGACCAGAGCAGCCAAATAATCATGTTTGTATTCAGTTTAGTTTGGGAACCTTTATGTCTCGTTGCGGTGGAAACGATTGCACATTCTAACTGGTTTCAGATTAGGAACATAGCTTGGGTTCTTGTTAGGACATCTGATATTTCTCTAGCCAAAGGTATAAATGTTATGTTGGTAAAATAAGAAGAAACAGTGACAGAGAAAACTCCATTGTTTTTCCTAAATTTAGAAATAGTTTTACCTCTACATTCCCAAGTGTTGCTAGTGGGTTGTGTTCTAATCTTATATCCACTCTATGAGGCAATACTAATCATTCAGTTTACAAATGCAGAAGCCAAAGCTCACAGAAGTTGGAAAACTCGTGCAATATTATACAACCAGTAAATTACAGAACAGTAATTTCTCCAGTTCTGTCTGGCCATAGTGGCCATTTTCTTTCTCTGCATGGGGACTGTAAAACATAAGCTACTGGGCTTGGACTCAGACTGCCTGGGTTCTTGGGTAAGTTACTTTATCTTTGTTCTTTAGTTTCCTCATCTATGAAATGGGTATAGTGAAAATAATAACTGCTTTGCACGATTGCCCGAAAGCCAGAGATAATGTTTGTGACCCACTTGATGTACAGTGAACAGAGAATAACTAGCCCTCATTATTACACCTCCCAACATTGAGAGTCTGAAAGACACCAGCTTTAGAGAGACTGACGTGAAAAAGTAGGGTGTGGCAAAGAATGCAGCGTGTTCATCAGACCCCAATTCTTCTCCCTCTTGAAAGCATTGTAGAACGTATTCCCAACTTCCCTGCAGTGAGGTGAGGTCATCTGACTGAGTTCTGGCAAGTGGAATTTGGGTGGAAGTGACACACTTACTTCTCGGCGTGACTCATAAAAACCAGTATCTCACTCAATCCCTTGCCTTCTGGCTCAATGCAGGAGATGGAAGGCTCTAGATCTCTGAATGGCTGAATAGTAGACACCTCTCTTTACTTCACCACTGTTTTAGATTGAGCAAGAAGCCACTGATATTTTAAACAGCGTTAGCCCACCTGATCAATAAGAGGTTTTTAGTTCTGTCAACATAGTTGACAAATGTGACCTTTGTCACTTTAGGAGATTTTAGTGAGAAATAAGTGAAATGGATGATGGACTGAAAGCACAGAGCTGAGTAGGAACCTGAGAGACTGAATTTGGTTATAATAGGCACAAAGAAAGAATGAATGGGCATGTAGTTCTGTAGAAACAGGACTTAGAGCTTCTCAAGAAAAGGAATGCTCCAAAAAAAGCATGAAGGAGAAGACATGAGGCTAAAGAGCTTAGAGAAGGGGGAGTGAGACATCCAAATTTTAGCAAACGTGTGACAAAATAATACAGAATTATTGTAATAAGGTAAGTGAAACCGAAAAACAGAAGTAAGAGAAGAAGGCAGACATTTTTGTGTGGAAACTATTTGTCCAGCAGCATTCCTCCACCAGATTCCCAGGAGAGAATGTGGAGAAATTACTAAGGAACCAAAGGAAGATGGCTTGCCAGAAAGAAAGCACTAGAGTCAGAAGACCTTGCAGCCATTCATGGTGCCAGCCCCTCACCCCATCACCAATGTGATTCAGCGGGTGCCTGTTCACTCCCACTCATCATCCTGGGTGTGACGTCCCAGCATACCCTGGCCACACCATCCATCCTAGCAATGCCATGGCTGTCACTCCACCTGTCCCTTCCTATGTCACATGAGCACTGCATCCTGAACCAGCAGCCTTATGTTCCTATGGTAGTCCTCCCATATGCCCTGTAGAGAGGGCCTTTCTCACTACTATCTCTCCATCTCACACACTTCTTTGTCTCCTTCTTGACTTTCGATGGGTTTTGTGTATGTCTGGGTCTGAGGCTATGTGGGCATGTAGTCTACGAGTCCTGTAGCTTCTTTCAGCTCTGTAGACCAGTGCTCCTCAAAGTTTAGCTAACATAACAATCACTGGACTCTTCATGGGCTCATTTTCCAGAAATTCTGATTCAACAGGTTGAGGATGTATGTACCAGAATTTGCATTTCTTCTTTTTTTTAATGTTTATTTCTTTATTTTGAGAGAGAGAGAGAGAGAGAGGGAGGGAGAGTATGTGTGTAAATCCACATGTGAGCAGGAGAGGGGCAGAGAGAGGAAGAGAGAGAATCCCAAGCAGGCTCCTAGCTAGCATGGAGCCCCAACTGGGGCTTGATCTCACAACCACGAGATCATGACCTGAGCTGAAATCAAGAGTTGGACGCTTAACCAATTGAGCCACCCAGGTGCCCCCAGAGTTTGCATTTTTAATAATGTTCCTCATTCATGCAGATTTTGCTGGTCCAAGAACCACACTGGGAGTAACACTGACATTGAGGACTCACTCCATCAACTATACTGAATCTATCCCCTTTCCTCCCCGGTGGCCACTGCCCCAGGCCTCCGTCACAGGAGTCCTAACTGGGCCACCAGCACTTCCTATCTCTTGGTATAATAATACATGACACGGAATGCAAGACTAACTGCTACTATAGGAATGACCTTAATTCAATCTAATTCATATTTATGAAGCACATCATCCACAGCCTTCGGTTATTTCAGTAATAATTATATACTACTTTAATTATTAGTGATAACAAGTTTTCCTCCCCACACCACAGTGGGTCAAGCCATCTTTGCCAAGAACCATCTGGGACTTCTTTGCTCTACATTTCTCCCACTTCCTTCCAAATACCTCAAAAAATCTTAACAAAAACTTTGTGTCTTTATACATCTCCAGTGATCCTCAACCTAATTGCACATTAAAATCACCAGGGAGCTTTTCAAAAAACACTGGTTCTCGGGCTCCAATTAATTTAGACGCTGAAAGTACTTTTTAAAGCTTCCCAGATGGTCTGATGTGCAGCCAAAGTTAGGAACCCCTGCTTTGGTTCTTTGTTCTGAAGCATCCTTGGGCGGGCCCCCCCCCCCCCCATTTTTCATGAATTGGAATCCTACTCATTCTTCAACTTCATAGTCAAATATCACCTCCTCCATGAAGGCTTTTCCAAGTGTCTTTCCTCCCTGGTCAATATGGATTCCCCACACTGTGCTCCTAGAGCATTGATTTAGCATTTCACATGTTAATTTTCTGTTTCCCCAGAAAGATTGTGAATTCCCTCATGCAAGCTGTCTCATATATCTTTTTTTAATCCCTAAGGCTTAAATTCTATTTGTTGAATTAAATTTAACTGTTCAGGAAGTGGAACAGAAGTACTATTAACTTCCTCCTCAAAAACATTTAGAGTAACAGATTCTTAATTAGTTAGTGGATCATAGCTGGTTTCAAAAATAAAGCATTCCATGATGTTAATACACTCTCCTTCTTCAGAATAAGCCTCAAAACCTTAAGGCAAAAGGACACCTCCTTTCTTCTCTTGGTGAGGGGCAAGAGGACATTTACCCATAGTTCCCTGTTAGACAAAATGTGGTCAGGGAAGCAGCACCCCAGCAGCATTGCCTGGGAAGTTTGTTAGAAATGTAGAATCTCAGTCCCCACTCTACACCCACTGAATCAAAATCTGGTTTTAACTAACTCTTATGCCACTCATGTGCACATTAAAGTTGGAGAAATACTGCCATCCACTTTCTCCTCCAACTTCTCTTATCCTTTCTGTTTTACTCTGCAAAACTGCTTTCACTATCTGGAGATTTCCCAGTGGAATCTATGAATCATTATTCTGCAAAAGCATGCCGTTCATCTACTTCAGTGATTCTAAACTCTAACAACATTTCAAAATCATAACAACCTGGGGTGCTTTAAAAGGTATTGATACCTTGGTCCCCACCCCTAGAAATTCTAATTCAGTTGGTCAAGGAGATCTGGGCCTTGGTATTTTTAAAATCACTGATCTAGTCATTTTTCCTATCTTCAAGAAGAAATTCTCAAACCAGCAATTTTATTCTCTTGTATGAATTATAATACTCCTATTAATTCATAAGGGGGATATTCTTTAGTTTTCCTTGATGTCTGCTCCCAACGTCTGATGACCCCTTTGTCAAAAAATTGGAGAGCTTGTCCATAGAAAGTTTTTATCCCCTTGATAAGAAGCACTTCTAAGATGATCACTCTATCAGGGACCAAAGGAAAGACTAATTTGGGCATCAAACCAAATTCAATCCAGTATGAATCTGGCAATTGCAATACTTTGATCTTCCCAAGATATATATTTTTCACTAAATAGAATTGCTTTTACCGTGTCTTCTTCAAGCTTGTTTGGTATTTTCTTTTTCTAAAACATGGGCCAAAGTTGCCCAAAGTTAGGAATAAAGTCTTTAGCAAACCGTGGGAAGTTACACAGAATGGTTAGTATTATATATCAGTGACCAAAGGAAAGTGCTGGCTGAGAAGTCTTTCATTTTATTCTGACCTTCATCTTCATAATTTTTCCTTTTCCTCTCCTTGAACTTCCTAGAGAAATAAACATGTAGGAGGTTACCTCTGTTTGGGATGGGTAAGAGGAGCACCTTCTGAAATGCTGACATGATAAAGGCTCTAAGCAAGACATTTCACACAACTCTTAGTGAATCATAGGGAACTCGCAGGAATTCCTTAAACCTCATGAAGATTATTAATGCTCTATTGTGTTCTGCGAACCTGGGGCAAGAATTGGAGCTAAATTTGCCGACTGCTTTGGCAGATTTATGTCTACTCCTGAGATGAATAACATACACAGTATTTTAGAAGTGAATTCTATGTAAGGTCCGTCACAAAGCACATGAAATCACTTCATAATAGGCTGCAACACAGTTAAATCTCCCTTAGGCACTAGGAGCCTCCTTTAATTATTTTTTAGATACAGCCCGTGATCCTGGAATTAAAGGCTGAATCCCAGGCTGAACTTTGATTTTGTTCACTCATGCAGGCTGAACTTTGATTTTGTTCACTCATGTTTTTTGTGACATTTTTTTGCCTCACTTTTTTTATTGAGACATAACTGATACACTCCCCCACTTTCTTAGATGAGCCAAACCCCAGAACAAAGGATGAAAATTCCATTGGAAAGAAAATGTGCATTGTTTTTATTTTGTTTTGTATTATAAGCTACATTCCAATGTATTGTCTCTAAACTAAAGAAATTTGCATAATTGTAGAGGTTCATCTTATGAACATTTAATATAAAATCCAAAGAACATCCATCTCATCAGAATAAATAAACAATCAAAATTACTCACCCAACATATGTATTCCTGTCAGATTTTGTGGATTTATTGGAAGCAGGTAAATTTGAAGCCATACTTTCTACTATATGGATAGTCATTATTAACTTGATGTTAAGAAAAAGAATTGCAGGGGCGCCTGGGTGGCGCAGTCGGTTAAGCGTCCGACTTCAGCCAGGTCACGATCTCGTGGTCCGTGAGTTCGAGCCCCGCGTCAGGCTCTGGGCTGATGGCTCAGAGCCTGGAGCCTGTTTCCGATTCTGTGTCTCCCTCTCTCTCTGCCCCTCCCCCGTTCATGCTCTGTCTCTCTCTGTCCCAAAAATAAATAAAACGTTGAAAAAAAAAAAAAAGAAAAAGAATTGCTGGGGTGCCTGGGTGGCTCAGTCAATTGGGTGTCCAGCTTCGGCTCAGGTCATGATCTCGAGGTTCATGGGTTCAAGCCCCACGTTGAGCTCTGTGCTGACAGCTCGTAGCCTGGAGCCTGCTTTGGATTCTGTGTCTCCCTCTTTCTCTGCCCCTCTGCCGCTCATGATCTGTCTCTCAAAAATAAATAAATGTTAAAAATTTTTTTAAGAAAAAGAATTGCAATTTGCTATTAAATATGCTATTAAATTAAATTGCAATGTTAAGAAAAATATTGTGAGTTGTTATTAAATTAAAGATCAAATCATAGTGGTTCAGCTCCAAGTTAGAATGACACTCTCCTTTAAAATCTATGTTTTCTTCTAAAATTGCTTAATGGAACTTTTCCCTGAGCATTCTAAAGTCCCTTATCAATTCAAAAATATCCTCCCTGACATGGCCTTTTATACTCCAACCCAGCTCTCAGAATAGCATTCCCCCTAGAAGACAGACTTCTTTTGAAGCTGTGGCATCCTGTCTCTTTGACCAGATTGGTTAGCTTATTAACTGTTGACCAGTGAGCCTTTCTCTCACATCTGGCCTTAGTCCAGCATGGGTCTGGTGGAGCACACTGACTTATTTATTTTGAGACAATAGTACATGGATGTCAGTCCTCCATTGATTTCCATAACAACTCCACCAGGTTGTGTCAAAAAACGTGAGAACTTCCAGTTTCCAAACATTCCGTTTTCTTACCCTATCCCATCCCTCACCAACTTGTTCTTACTCTTTGTGATCAGAAGTGAGGAAAACATCCAAAGTCAGGACCTCAGAATACCCCTTTATCTGAATGTTCCCCGTTCAAAATCACACAGAAGTTCTGATAAATAAACAAAACCTGTTTCCCAGGGTCTCTTCATTTAGCTAAACCCTACCTAAAATCCAATGAACTACCTGTCAGAGGCCAATCCAGGTAGAAAAATGAACTACAGTCCAAAATTTTTAGAAAACAGAGTATCTGTTAAGAAATCCATGAATTCACAACTTTGCTGCTGCTTTTCGCTTTATGCTTTCGGGACAGAAAGTCTAAGAGACTTTTGAGGAACTTCATCTTGTTCCTTTTTTGCCACATTAGTCTCATGGTTTCCAAGTCAATCAAAGTGCCCAAAGAGCAGCAAATACAAGGCATTTCATGATACACATGGATTTCTCTCTACGAATGTGCATAACAGCCAATAATCAAATGTCCATATCTTTTTTTTTTAGTTTATTTATTTATTTAGAGAGAGAGAGCAGGGGAGGGGGAAAGAGATGGTGGAAGAGAGAATCTCAAGCAGGCTCTATGCTGTCAGCCTAGAGCCTGACATGGGGCTCGAACCCAGGAACCATGAAATCCTGACCTGAGCCAAAGCCAAGAGTCAGACACTTAATTGACTGAGCCACCCAGGAGGCCCTCAAATGTTCATATCTTACCTGGGATCTCCATGTTAGAAGATACTCCTCTTCCTGGTGATAGTCACTCTGGGCAAACCCCTCAAATTCCATGCTGGCCTCCTTTGGTCTATCCTGGTCAGCTAACAAAGCTTACAGAATGAGACGGAAAGAGAATAGGGAACCAATGCAGCAGCCTAAAGCTTGCCACTGCCACCACCAAATAGGTATTGGTAACTTTGCCCAAAGTATTCACAAATCCCTGATCCTAGTAAGGGTGATGACAGCTTTGAGGCTAAATAAGCCTGAACACGTGTGTTGCTTCTGTCACTTGGGACAGTAGCTCCTGTTTGTAGTTTACAATGATACAGATGTCTCTTACCTCATGACCCACCTCCAACTGCTCCCCCTGCTGGGCTTTCCAACCACCACTGACAGTTTGGCGCCTCAGCAATTGCCACCATGAGGCCTCCACACTTGTGTTTGGTATTCCATGCTGCATGTCTCAATTTATTTTTAGGGTATAATGAGTCCGACCACCGAATTCCAGTCTGGCATCTACCTCTGGCTCTGACAGGTGAAAGTGGTAGCTAATTAGAAAAGTGCTAGATAATTAATTGCTCCTTTGAATTAATTAGACTGATTAACAAGTCTGTTTCCAGTGCAAATTCTGTCAGCCAATGGTCTCAATCACTAATGGTGCCAGATAATGCCAGCCAAGATTTACGGGCCCCGTGTAACATGTCGCAGGACATTAGGGCAAGAGGTCATCATGTGGGTGACATGCTAAAGAGTTTTGTGGAGTCTACGAAAGCAGAGTACCGATTCCTGTCTTCTGGAGAGTCTTCAATTATTTTCCCGTTTTCAATCTTTTCAAGACCCAATCCTACTCTTCTGGTAGGTTGTTCCTGGATGATTGTTTTAACTGTATTGCAATAGGCCAATCATCTGAACGGCAGTGGATAAACTTTTCATTTTTAGAAGCATGTACACAGACCGCACAAGGTAAGTGCAGGCCATCATTGGCTGTTTTACAAACAAAGGCCGTGTGCCAGGCAGAGCCCCATGACTCAGCACGACATTGAGGTCAGTATGCTTGTTTTCTCTCTGCCAGATCCATGCTCCATGGTGTCTGGCCTCAGACAAAACCCTCGATTTCCCACCATCTTCCTCCACAGTGTCAGCATTTTTATCTTCTCGCTTCCATAACAATTCTCTATCTGGCTTAATTTTGCCACTACACCTTTAACATGGAGAGAAGAAATCAGAGTCCTGGTGTGCAACTGGAGGACATTGGGGTCTCTCTCCGTTTGATACGCTGCTTAATCTGTGAGATGGTGTAGACATAGAACCACACCGACACCCCGAAAACAGTGTCCGTATCACTCTGGGGAGGGCCCTGGGTAGGAATTGGGGCTTCCAGAACCTTGCAGTGAAGACTGGGCATCCACCTCAAGCCGGGCCCTGGGCTAAATTCTGAGAACACAAAGAAGATGAGATGCATGGCATCTGCCCTAAAGGCATTTATACTCTAGTGGGAAAGAGAGATGAGCAGGGTTATCCTAGTTATAAAATATATACTTTAAAAGTTTACACTTAAGGGATTGGCATCTTGACTCTTTTAACAAAGAGTACAGTCAAATTGTGCTGCTAATCACAAGACATTGCAGGGCCTATCAAAATATTTCTTAATTCATCACACACCGTAAACTTAATGGAACACAAGTTTAAAAGTAGCTTATACTCTTCCCTTCTCTCAGTGCAGTTGGTGAATTTTTATATATACATATTTACAGTCTAATTTTAGACCAAACAGCCCCCACCTTTGGGCCCACCAGGCTGGGTCTGCCTCCTTGAGACCATGCCTCAGTGCTCTTTTCTTTTCTTCCAGACCAACCCTTTCTGCCCTGGGCTCAGAGTCTCTTCTCTGAGAGTGTCTCTCCATGAAGCACCTTTGGGTCCTCTCGGTTTACCTAAGGCTGCACAAAGCACTCTTGTCTGGGAAACCATTACACACACAGGCAAACACACAACCCCAGAGCCACCCTCACAGCCTGTGGGAGATGGGTGGCAATGCACAGCAAAGTCCCCACGTCCACCCCTTTCTTTCTTCCCTCTTTCTGCAGCGGGTCCCTCGTGGTGAGGATGGGGTAACAAAGAGTGCCTATCTTCCTGCCACCCCACCCCACTCCACTATTTGGCCCAGGGTACCATCAATGGCTTGCAAGAGCTCAAAAATGTTTCAGTTATCCACTCAGATGCTAAGCAGTTTTTTTTTCATTTATTCATTGAACAAATATTGACTGAGCACACATGATGCTCCAGGAAGTCTAGGAAGTACCAGAGATACGGTTATGACTAAGACAGCTCCTGCTTCTCTGATTTCTTCCACAAAAACTTTGACGTTGCATAAACAGAAAAGATACAAGTTACCACAGTTCTTATACTAACCTTCCCCATGTCAAAACACAGGATTAAGTGTATCTTCATCATTCCATTTTTATTCTTTTTATTTTTTAAATGTTTATATATTTTTTTTATTTTGAGAGAGTGAGAGCAAGCTGGGGAGGGGCAGAGAGAGACAGACAGACAGAACCTGAAGGAGGCTCCAGGCTCTGAGCTGTCAGCACAGAGCCTGACACGGGGCTCAAACTCACGGACCATGAGATCGTGACCTGAGCTGAAGTCAGACGCTCGACCGACTGAGCCACACAGGCGCCCCTATACAGTGTTATATTCTATTCTTCATACCTAATAACTAAAACTTATTGAGTCTTTGGATCTTTCCCGAAGTGTTTACCTTCCAATACATAGACTGTAGCTGCCTCAAATCCTTTTTGGAAGAGAGGAGGTACAAAAAATAAACAATTGTTTCCTTTATCATATAGACATGTTGCAGCTTAACATTTGCACGCATATGTGCAAGGAAAATGCATCTTATTTTCTATTAGCCATCCAATCTCTCCCACTATGCCTACCATCCTGAAAGTTGGGGTAGAGGGTGGTGACTTTAAACTTGCCAATCAGAAGCATCTTCCTGTCTTTGTTTTGGACAGTCTCATTTAGGCGGCTTGTTCTCTTTCAAGTACACGTTTTCCTCCCTCTGCCCACTGCTCCCATCTGATATAACACACAGTGAATGGAGTGGATGGGGAGGGGCTTACTTGGTTTCTTGACAGTAAGGAAGAGAAGGGCTCTGGGATACATGTGCTCAGGTCCTTGTCCTGGGAGGTGGCAGGTCAGGCACTGTCCATTGCATTCTTGTGACAAACCTGTAGCTACTTGGGTTGGTCTGTGGGTCTCTGAATGGGGTGACTGAAATGCATGCAGCTAGGCCCATCCAGCAGTAATGGGACATTATGCTGGCACCCACCTCTGAAGTCTGTGGCTTGTCTATTCATCTCCAGCCTCAAAGTCTCCTTTCCTTGTGGCCTCTTTGTTCAGTTCCCATACCCGACAGCCCACTGGTATCTGGGAACTTCTGCTTCCCTTTGTGAGAGCAATCAGAACGTTGAGGCCCCTGCATGCCAGATATAGCCCTTGGTGTTGTCTTGGGCTGTCTCTCTCAATTCTTCTCTGTCCACCATGGGTGCACTAATGTCCAATACCATGCTGGATGGAGATTCTCCTGCAGACTTGAAACCTCTCCTGGGCTACATCAAAGGATGCAAACTTCTGGCTCCAGTGTCCTCAGGCTGACCTATGCCTAGTTGGATAGTTACATGGCACTTTCTCCCTGGCATTCACCCCCAGAGGTAGATGGTGACCAGGGACCCTGTATGAACTTCTTGCCCTACTTCTTCTCCCTGCTCCCACCCCCACAATTCTCATCACAAGGAGGTAAGGTCCTCTTTGTACCTTTTCTACCTGACCAATGTGAGATACCCTTGTATCATATACTGAATGCTTCCTGGCTTCTGGCAATCCCCATATTCAAGTTCACTGGACCTAGCTTCTATGTTAATTAAAACAAACATTTTTAAAATCTTATTGTTCCTCACCCTGCCTCCCTAGGGACTCAAACTTCCTGTTAAAAGAGTTCTAATTTCCTCCTTTAATCTCCTTTAATTCCCATTGCCCAGCAGGTAGGTAGGAATGTGGACTATGAAAATGGTCATGTAGGCAGAAAGGAAAGAAAAGCTTGGCAATATGTTTCAAAACTACTATCTCTGTAAATGTTATAAGTAATAAGAATTGAATCCCTAGCACAAAGGCCAGGAGTACCATTGTTTGTATTTTTCCTTGGAGCACTTATCCATCCACAGTTCGGTTAGAATGCTGTACTCAAACCTTATGACACTCTTCCAGACAAGACCATGCAGAGGGGCAGTGGATGAAGCCTGTGTCATGAGTGGAGTCACTTGAAGGGGACTCTAGTGGAGGATGACCCACATTGAGACCATGGAAAGGGTGACTGCATACCCCAATCCTTGCAGAGGACTGAAGCCTCCTGTTTTCAGTCCCATAGGATTCTAGAGTTACTTTGTTTTAAAAGTTCAATAATTGTGTATGAGATTAAAAATACAAAAAAAAAAAAAAAAAGACATATTTTCCAGAACCCACAGAGCACTGACCTCTGGCATATTTACAAAGGTGAGATTTGCTTTAAGAAAATAATTGCTTCTTGAAACACAACAGAAAGCCTAGAAATAAGCCCAACATTCTATGGTCAGTTAACCTTTAACAAAGGAGACAAGAATATGCAATGAGAAGAAGACAGTCTTGTCAACAAATGGCGTTGGGAAAACTGGACAGCTACATGCAAAAGAATGAAACTGGACTACTTTTTTACACCAGACACAAAAATAAACTCACAATGGATTAAGGACCTAAATGTGAGGCCTGAAACCATAAAAATTCTAGATGAGAGCATAGGCAGTAAATTTTCTGACATAGGCCATAAAAACATTCTTTCTAGATACGTCTCCTAAGGCAAGGGAAACAAAAGCAAAAATAAACAATTGGGCCTACACCAAAATAAAAGGCTTCTGCCGAGCAAAGGAAACAACCAACAAAACTAAAAGACAACATACTGAATGGGAGAAGATATTTGCAAATGATATATCTGATAAAGGGTTAGTATCCAAAATATATAAAGAACTGATATAACTCAACACAAAAAAAACCCCAAATAATCCAGTTTAAAAATGAGCAGAAGACATGAACAGACCTTTTTTTCAAAGAAGACATATAGATGGCCAACAGACACATGAAAATATGCTTAGCATCACTCATCAGCATGGAAATGCAAATCAAAACTACAATGAGATATCACCTGTCAGAATGGCTAAAATAAAAAACACAAGAAACAAGTGTTGCAATGAAGTGGAGAAAAAGGAACTCTCGAGCACTGTTGGTGGGAATGCAAACTCGTGCACCCCCTGTGGAAAATAGTATAGAGGTTCCTCAAATTAAAAATAGAACTACCCTATGATCTAATAATAATTATACCACTGGGTATTTACCCCCAAGATACAAAAATATTAATACAAAAACATTAATTCATATGTTTATAACAGTACTATTTAGAATATACAAATTATGGAAGCAGCCCTGGGTCCATCCATAGATGAATGGATAAGGAAAATGTGGTATATATATATATATATATATATATATATATATATATATATATATGCAATGGAATATTATTCAGCCATAAAAAAGAATGAAACCTTTCTATTTGTACCAACATGGATGGATCTAGAGGGGATAAAGCTATGTGAAATAAGTCAGAGAAAGACAAAAACCATATGATTTCACTCATACGTAGAATTTAAGAAACTAAACAAATGAACAAAGGTGGGAAAAAGAGACAAATAAAAAATATAGATGCTTAACTATACAGAACAAACTGATCAATACCAGAGGGGAGGTGAGTGGAGGGATAAGTGAAATAGGTGAAGGGGATTAAGAGTACACTTATCTTGATGAGCACTGAGTAATGGATAGAATTGTTGAATCACTATATTGTACACGTGAAATGAATGTAACAGTGTATGTTAATTACACTGGAATTAAAATAAAAAGAAAGGGGGCGCCTGGGTGGCGCAGTCGGTTAAGCGTCCGGCTTCAGCCAGGTCACGATCTCGTGGTCCGTGAGTTCGAGCCCCGCGTCAGGCTCTGGGCTGATGGCTCAGAGCCTGGAGCCTGTTTCCGATTCTGTGTCTCCCTCTCTCTCTGCCCCTCCCCCGTTCATGCTCTGTCTCTCTCTGTACCAAAAATAAATAAAAACGTTGAAGAAAAAAAAAATTTTAAATAAAAAGAATTTCTTTAAAGAAAATAACTCCTCTTGATTTACAAAATTGCATTGATCTTTTTTTCCTTCCAGAATTATATTATCTAATATTTAAACTATATATAACCAGAAATTTCTTTTTGGACAATGAGTTAAAATAATAAAAGAACATATTTCAAATTGTGCAGACATTTATTTATAGGGCTGTTTTGGGGCATGGGAGGACTTGACTGTCATCAACCATCCTAGATGGATAGGATCTGTTTCTTAGTCTGTTCAGGTTGCTATAACAAAATAATACAGACTGGCTGGCTTAACCACCAAACATTTATTTCTCGCAATTCTAGAGGCTGAGAAGTCCATAGTCAAGGTACCATCAGATCAAGTGTCCATGAGAGACTGCTTCCTGGTTTATAGACCACTATCTTCTCTCTCTGTCCTCATATAGCACAAAAGGAATGAGAAAACTCTCTGTGGTCTCTTTTATAAGCCCCTTCATGAGGGCTCCACCTCATGATCTAGTCACTTCTCAAAGCCCCCTATTTCCTATACCATCACCTTGGAGGTTAGGATTTCAACATACAAATTTGGGGGAGACACATTTAGTCCATAACAGTCTATTTTGAAGTGAATCTGCATGGAAGGTGCCATACATACTCTGCAGTAAGTAATTACTAAAGCACCTACTCTGTGCTAAATTTGTTCCTGATTGAAGTTGTACAAGAAACATAAAATAATGTTTCTTGGGGCACCTGGGTGGCTCAGTTGGTTAAGCACCTGACTCTTGATTTGGGCTCAGGTCATGATCTCAATGTTTGTGATCAAGCCCCACATCTCTCTCCCCCTCTCTCTGCCCCTCCTCTGCTAACATACACTCTCTCTAAATAAATAAACATTACAAAAAATGTTTCTTGTTCTCTGACTCATTCTTCTGTCAACCTCCAAATTAAAGGAACTTAACTTACAACTGCCCTGGCTGCTGTGGTGATCTTTCTTCCTGGGAATATGACTCCCACAGTGTGACTAAAGCTTAAATTTCCTGTTCCCCAATGGCTGACCTTAATATTAATGCCAGGGTCTCAATTAGTCAGCGGGCTACACTGAGATGCCAGCGAAGGTCAGCAGTGCCTCAAGTGGCTTGGCCAACAGAGACACTTAAGGCTGAAGTCACTTGATTTCTGAATATGTTTGATTTCAATTTTTAAAATATTTCTGTTCATAATAATGTTTGAAGGAAGGAAATATGAGGCAGAATATCAGACAAAAATTCAAGAAAAGCTATTGTATTGGGAATAAATCATGACATTTTAAATCAGTAGTAGTCAGGAATAAAATGTAAACGTTTGTCTCTAAAATCAAAATAATCCCTCTCAATTCAGAATGGAAATCTGAAGAACAAGGGAAAAATAATCAAAAGGACAGTCAGAAGAAGAATGTCAGTAACAATAGCGAATTCAAGCATTACACCAGGCTAGACTCCGGACCATCTCATTCAACCCTCACAACAACCCTCTGAAATGGGTGTTATTATTTCCCCAATTTTCAGATGAGGAGATTGAAGTCCAGAGAGTTTAAATGAAGTGCCTACAATGAGTAATCCAAGACTGGGATTCAGACCTTGGTCTGCCCAGCTACAAAGCCATGGGGACTCTTTCTATGTCAGCACTGTTTTTAAATGTTAGAGTCCTTTATTTTTTTTAATGTTTATTTATTTACTGAGATAGATAGAGAGGGAGGAAGGGAGGGAGGGAGGGAGAGAACAAGTGGTGGAGAGGGAGAGAAGGAGAGAGAGAGAGAGAGAGAGAGAGAGAGAGAGAGAGAGAGAATCCTAAGCAGGCTCTGTGCTGACAGCACAGAGCTTGACGTGGGGCTCACTCTCAACCATCACGAGATCATGACCTAACCCGAAATCAAGAGTCAGATGCTTAACTGACTAAGCCACCCAGGCGCCCCTGTTAGAGTCCTTTAAAGAAGACAAGAGTCCAAGGAGAATGGAAGAGAAGGAAGGAATATCAACATCAACAAAAGAAGGAAGTGTGATGTGGGTCTTAAAAATGAGGTAGGATTGGGATGTGAGGAGCATCTCTCTACAACATCTTGCCTGCTGGTGGTAAGCACTGTTGATTTCACTGATTATGGGAAAGGGGTGCATAGTAAGCCATGGTGGGTGTTATGTGAATGCTGCTAAAGAAATTAGTCCCACTAAAATGATAGCCCAACACTGACACAGATTTTAAAATCATCTCATTGTCAAAATTTAAATTGACCTTTAAAATGGGCTTCAAACACACTTTAATTTCCACTTTAATTCATCTCAGGCTTGCCACTTCCCTAAGATTTTACTCCAAAAGTTTGGTCCAATTTAACACCCTGCCCATAACCAGTTCTGTCTGCTCCTGAGTGGTTTCTGAAAAGAGAATTAAAAAACACTTGGCTGAGAGGTTCTTAACTCCCTATGGTTTGTCCATTATGCACATTTGAGGCATTGGTGATTAAAGCCCTGTGTTTGTTTCTCAGCACCAGATGAAAATGTCCCATCTGGGAGGGCATGTGGCTGGTTCACTCTGCAGAGCATGCAACTCTTGATCTCAGGGTCAGGAGTTCAAGCCCCATGTTGGGTGTAGAGTTTAGTTTAAAAAAAAAAAAAAAAAAAGAAAAGAAAATGCCCCACTTGAATGTGAAGTACATTGGGAAATCAGACTCTCCATTGGAAAGAAGCTCTTTAATTTGACAGATCTCACTCTGAAATGAGAGAGGGTGCTATTTTCCTTATAACTCAAGGAAGTGCAGTCCTAACCTCTAACAAAAAACAAGGTTATTGCTGCTGCTGCCCAAGAAAGCTCAGATGGGAAAATAATGCTAATGCATCATGGAGGTGATGAATTCCAGGCCCAGAATGTCATGAAATTTCAAAGTGGACTGATTTTACTTTGGGTTTAGCAGAGTGACAGAGAATGGCATGGTCTATGGGCACTCTTCTAACCTACTAAGTGAAATACATTGAGTTAGACGTGAACTTTTTTCTAAAAGTGTAGAAAAGCTTGGGTCATGGTCACATTTATATTAATGCCTTCCTTAGGAATGTCATGACTTTCCTAAAGTGATTATTTTGAATACTTCACCTTGGCTTTGCATTTCATTTTCTATTGTGATGATTGTGGGTATTTCTCTCAGTATTTTATACTGGTCAATATTATTTAAATTTTTAATTATGAAACAGTTCAGGTGATATCATGACCTGAACCCAAATCAAGTGTCAAATGCTTAACCTACTGAGCCACCCAGGCACCCCATTCCTTGTGTCTTTTAAATTTTCTCTTTATATTCTCAAGTTTTCTAAAGTATGTTTAGATGTCACTTAAAAAAAAAAAAAAAGTTCTTCTCAGGACTCACTGTGCTTCCAAATTATGAGAAAGCAAATCCTCATGATTTCTTCCTTGAATACCCGGTCTTCTCTGGCACTCCTATTAGCTATGTGTTGGGCCATCTCAGTCTGTCCTCCGAATGTCTTCACTTGTTCATATATTCTGTCTCTTTGCTTCGCTGCTACAAACGGAGAAATTTTCTCTGGTCTTTCTTCTTCACTTGTTCTCTCGGTAGGTGTGTTTAAACTAGCTTTGTCACTCAATGGCCATCTATTGCAGCAATGCCCTTGATTCCTCATGTATCCTGTACTCATACCCTCTCCCATATGACTGTGCAGTACAACACCCTCTCACCACAGATGGAGTGACCTGTCCTGCCCCGTGCTGGGTTCAGCCATGCCACTCTTTTGATCCAGAAAATGAGGCAGTGTGTCAGCTATTCCTGCCCTTGAACCTCTATCATTGTCCTAAGAACATGCCCAGGCTAGTCTGCTGGAGGGTTAGAAGCATGTAAATCAGAGCCCAGTCACCCCAGGAACCCAGCTGAGGCCAGCCTGGATCAGCCAACAGCCAGCTGATGCCTCAAATGTGAGCAAACCCAGCCGAGGACAACAGGGCCACCTAGCCAGCCCCAGCTGACCCCAGGCACGTGAGCAATAAATGCTTGTTGTACGTTGCTCAAGTCCGAGGCCATAGGGTGATTGTGGCAACAGAAACAGATAACTACTATCCTCTGGGATCTCTCTTTCAAATAATGGTTTTTTCATTTGTAGATATTCCAACTGTCATTTTTGTCAAATTGCCTATACTTTTAAAATTATGTCCTGTTTCCATACATTTCTATTCCACATTTTGTCTACTTGATCATTTTAAACAGAACTATTTTATAGCTTCTTTTAGACTTTAATTCTAAGTTCTCAGGGGTGCTGATCTTCCCATTTGTTGTGTCTGTTGATGTCTGTCATAAGGGATTTTTTCCTGGTTTTATTTATAATTTTTCTTTTTGAATCCATTTCCTGTGAGTGTCCAATATATATACTGGTTTATGAAAGCGTTCCTAAGCAGTGGTTTTGTATTTGCACCTTCCAGGAACGCCCAGGGTAGGTATCCCCAGTCTAGGACCAGGTTTATATCAATTTCCTATCTGAGGATCTCAGCACCATGTAGCTAGCATAAATTGTCATTTTACGATGACACATCATACTTTGTCTCAGTTACTCACTAGAAACTGTACTTCTATCCACATTTGCTGACAAAAATTCATTTGCATTTCAAGAGTGGTCATTAGAATATTCTCTTTTACTGAAGGTACAGAATTTCCAAGGTCCCAGCTGAATACGGGGTTTCAGGTCCAAAGCCCACCTCTGGCAGGTCAAGACCATGTATGTGCATCCTGCAAAACCCCTGTACATTGGCATAAGGGTCTCTTCCAAGATTGATCCTCACTGCGCCATGATCGCATCAGCTCATGACCTGATGATCTTCATTTCTGAAACCTAGGGTTTGCTCTTTCATTTTTCAAAGTTCACCCATTAACATTTACACAATACTCCTCTTATTTACTTTAAGAGACATGGCCATGTGGCTCAGTTTTCCATGTTGCTTACACATGCTTTGTTTCATAAGCAAAGCTGCTACTGTAAAAATTAGAGATTTTTAAAACTGACTTGGTCCTTAGGCAAAAGGAAAATGTGGCAGAAGAAAAAACAGTACAGAGAAATTAGTTCATTCAGGGCCACAAGTTTTTCTTAAAATAGGCTTGATTTTTGTTAAGCACTAAAAATAGCCTCTATCTCTGTTAAGCACTAAAGAATTGACATAAGCAGTTTTTGGACTTATGTTCTTTTTTTTCCACAATGTCAGCATTTCACACAATTCTATATTCTATGATTTACTTGATGAGAATGTATCTATTCCTTTATTTTCCTGGTAATGCTTGATTCTTATGTCTGTAACTCATTTGAAGTGTAACAACACTGCAAATCAACATTTAGAATAATAGGACACAGGCACAGCTCACTATTAATACTAAATGTTACTTGAAAAATTTAAAATGCATGCCTTTAAATGAATACTTTTAAAATGCTACAACATGTGGCTTCCTAACAACCCCTGTTACTGGACATTTTCCCTCTCTTCTTGTCAGAGCCTGGCTCTTTCTCCATTCTTAGGGTAAGGGAAGGGGGCAGGCCAACAGGACTAGAGAGATGTCCCGTCCCGATTGGAATCCCCTACTTCTTTGCCTTAATCCTTTCATTCACACACTAATTGGCACATAGTCTGGGAAACAAAATGCAGAGACTGGGATTTTGGTAAAAGTGTCACAATTCTTTTTCAAAGCGTTTGCAATGGAAAAAAAAGTGTTTGCAATGTTTAGCAAGTTTTGACTTGAGTTGAGCTAGCTAGGAAAGAGAACTATGACTTTAATAAGCTTGAAGAGAGGAGAACATCAAGATTTATAAAAATAGACCAACAACATTCCAAATGATGCATTGTCCCTGAGTATAATCAGTGTGCGGATAAATGGAAAGTCATTGTATTCAGAGAAAAGCCATATTCTTGGCTCTGGAAGTAGAAGGAAGAAGTAAGCACAATTCTATCACAGTATATGAATGCTGTTTTGTTTCATAATGGTAGACTAACAAATGGCAACTACCGAGGCAACATGCTGTACTGGAAAGATAATTCTTTTTATGCCAAATGGATCCGTGTATTGTTGGGCAAGCTCATCATCTTTTCAAACTTTAATTTGTTTGCTTATTTCCTGTAAAGTGGAAATAATAGTAATTTCCATACAGGAGTGTTGGAAAGATAAAATGAAAAAATACGTATTAAATACCTCGTTTATAACAAGCCCATTATAAAGGATGACAATTACTATCTTAATACCATTTTAACATACCCTTTTTAAAAAATTGTGGAAGGGGTGCCTGAATGGCTCAGTTGGTTAAGTGTTAGATTCTTGATTTCGACTCACAGTTATGAGATTGAGTCCTGCATCAGGTTCCCGCTTAAGGTTCTCTCTCTCTCTCTCTCCCTCTCACTCTGTCCCTCCCCTGCTTGTGCAGTGTGCACTCTCTCTCTATCTCTCTCACAAAAAACAATAAACTGTGGAATGTGCAGACAGAGAAATGTGAAATGATGTGTGGTTCATGGAATCTGAATCTCTTTGTCAAATAAGAATTCTCCAAAAGGGGGAGTCCAGGACAGCCATGGGGCTAAGGCCAGGCATGTTTATGTGTTTGTACTGTCCCTAAGCAGAACTCTGCCTTGGAGAATCAGACTTCAAACACAGGTGGCAATGACACTGAACAGCCCAGATATCTCTGTACACATAGTGCCTGACAGACAGGAAAGTCATTCCTGTGCTACATTTTTCTGAATGCAGTTAACTTTACACTTACACACCCTGATTCTGTGTGCAGAGCAATGAATCAGGCAGCATATAGCTCACCCCTCTCTCAATGACTGTGACTCATTCTAACTCACTCAACCTTTCTTTGCTAGATGCACGCTCATCATTTGAGAGCAGAAATAGTCACAAGTAAAGGAGAAAAATTGGAAAAGCTTTTTAAACCTATTTTTCTTAAAATATACATGGAACTCTGGGTATATATCCAAAGGATATAAAATCAAGACCTGGAAGAGATATCTGCACTCCCATGTTCATGGCAACATTATTCACAATAGCCAAGATATGGAAACAGCTTAAGTGTCTATCGACAGATAAATGCATGACAAAAAT